TTTTTTTTTTGGTACTGGGGATCAAACTCGGGACCCTTGCACTTTCGAGGCAGGCGCCAGAACCACTGAGCTAAATCCCCGGCCCTTGAGTTCTTTTTTTGTTTTGTTTTGTTTTGGTGCTGGGGATCAAACTCGAGACCTTGCACTCACGAGGAAGGCAGCAGAACCACTGAGCTAAAACCCCAGCCCATATTTTTGAGTTCTTTACATATTCTAGATATTAGTGCTCTGTCTGAGAAATATCTGGCAACAAAGTTTTCCCATTCTGTAGGTTGTCCCTTCACTCTGTTGATTGTATCCTTTGCTGTAAAGAGGCTTTTTAATTTTATACAATCCCATTTCTTGATTCTTGTGTAATTGAAGTTTTATTCATAAAGTCCTTGTCTTCTATGCTTTCAAGAATTTTACCATTTTATCTTCCAGGAAATTATTTCTGTTTTAATATTTAGGTCTTTGATCCATTTTGATTTTAGTTTACTATAGGGTGAGACATATGGGTCTAGATTCAATTCCATGTGGATAGTCAGTTTTCCCAGCACCATTTTTTCAAGAGACCATCTTTCCTCAGTGTTATGTTTTTGACCCCTTTGTTGAAGATAAGGTAGCTGAATGTGCTATTCCTAGATTATTTTTATCACCTCAAAAAGAAACCTTGTGCTCATTCCCCCTTTTAAAGTAGAAATATTGGACCAAATAATTTGCTCTGTAATTCATTTTAGAAGTTAAAGGTACAATTTTGTTTTGAATTGTTTGTTTAATGATGATAAGGGATGTTAAGTATTATATACTGTTGTTTTTTATTGGTTTCAATATAATGTGAGCTTTTTATGACCAACAGTGAATAATAATAAAGGTACAGTTGCAACACTAAAATATAATTTAATGTAGTTTGTCTGCTCTCTAGGAACTGCTGTAAACACACGGATATTGAAGTGCATGATTCCAACTACTTTAGTATCAGAAGAGTCTGTGGTTAAAGCAATCTCCTGGCTCTGTGTTGGCAAGTGTTCTGGTAACACCAAGGTAATCTTTTTAAACACTTTGATGATGTCCTTCAGAACCACTTAAGGGCTGGCAAAGGAAGAGCCACTTATGGGGTAATGGCGGTAGCCTTTTGTACAAAGCCTGTAGTTTTGGAACAATGTAGCTCAGTGCAAGAACTCTTCAAACAGAAATTTTTACTGAGAAATAAAATAAGTTATTCTACTTTGTGCTAGAAGTTTCTAAAACAGCCCTGGGCAGGAAGGTAGAATTAAGCTCTTGGCTGGTTAATTATATTTAGAAAATTTATAAAGATAAGCATTTTTGGGCCGGGGGTTTAGCTCAATGGTTTCGCTGCCTGTTGCGCAGGCGCAAGGACCCGAGTTCGATCCCTGGTAGCAAAAAAAAAAAGATAAGCATTTTGTTTTTCTACAGGTACTTTTTTATCGTTGGCTGGTTGCAATGTTTGACTTCATTGATCAAAAGGAACAAATTAACTTGCTTTATGGGTTTTTCTTTGCTTCATTGCAAGATGATGCACTGGTAAGTACACATTAGCACTGAACATCAGTTAAGTAGGGCATGTGTGTATATTGATGTATAATACATGCTTCTAGGTGCTACCCAATATGTTTTAAAATATATAAATATATAGAAAATGCAAAGAATAGCATAACAAATACCCTTGTACCATCTCTCAGATTAACAAATACAAAATTTTTGCTGTATTTATATCTCCTTTTAAGGAAATAAAAATGTGCAGATAAGAGTTTATTCTACATTGGAGTCTCTTTGCTGATCTAGAGCAACGATTACCATTTTTTTTCCTTTTAAACCACTTACAGAGTCCTCTGGGTCACTTACTCTACATTTTCTTGATTAACACTGCAAAACTTCAGCAGAATTAATGAGAAGGAGAGGATTACTTTTTGTGAGTTGCCAATAGACTGATTTTGATTAAATAGCATAATTATTCCCATTAAAAACATAGGGCTGGGGATTTAGCAGGCCAGGGATTTAGCTCAGTGGTTCTGCCGCCTGCCTTGCAAGCACAAGGTCCTGAGTTCAATCCCCGGTACCCCCCCCAAAAAAAAAACATTAATAACTCTAAGACAGTGATGGCAAACCTTTTAGAGCTTTCATTTATACAAACATCCTGCTGGTACATATGTGCCATAGGTTTGCGACCACTGCTCCAAGAAATTAATCTGCTATCTCCCTGGACGACTTTCAAGGACACCAAAGTTCACAGACCATGTGAGCCACTCGTCTAACTGAATTGCTCTTGGGTTTGGGAAAGGAATTCATTCACTGATTTCATTTTTTAAAATTCATTTTTCAGTCATGTTCCTTGGATTATACTGGGCACTGTAGAAGACTCAAAATTTAGCAGAATTTCTGTATCCAAATTTTTAGAGTCTAGTTTGGGAATTAAAGAAAGCACATATAATTAACTCAAAAGTTAGAGTATCAAAGACAGTATATGATAGTGTGGTGACAGTATTTTGTTACAATATTTCCAAGAAAGAAGAGAGTGCTATAAATCAGTGATTACAAAAAGCATCAGAAAGTATGTGGATGTTGAGCTGGGCCTTGAAGGTTAAATACAATTTAAGATTTGATGAGAGGAAATGTTTGATATGATGAAACTATTTCAAGCGAAGTTGTGAGATGTGTAAATTGTGTTTTAGGAGACTAAGGTGAGGCTGACTTAATTGACGTTCTTATTTGGTATTGATGAGCAATAAGGCTGAAAAAGTTGAGTGAGGAGAGATTGTAGAGGTCTTTCAGTATGGAATTGGATTTTACTCTCTATTCAGTGAGGAAATCACTGAAAATTTTTCAACTGAATATGTTGAAAGCAGCTTCATAGGAAGTTGTTTATAGTAATGCCAAATAGGAATTATGAGAGAGACTCAAGACAGGTAGAAGAGTTGGGAGGCTGACATAATAATCCAGGTATAACAGGATGAAGCCCTAGACTAAATAGTCTTAAAATATGATCTGTGGATCCCTAGAGCCCCCTGAGAGCCTTTCAGGAGATCTGAGGAAAAAATTATTTTCGGGCCAGGGATTTAGCTCAGTGGTTCCGCTGCCTGCCTCACAAGCTCAAGGTCCCAAGTTCGATCCCTGGTACCAAAAAAAAATTATTTTCATAATACCAAGATATTATTTGCTCTTTTCACTATGTTGGTCTAGGCAGTGATGGTGCTAAAGCAACGCTGTAAAAAAATGCTGGCACTTTAGCACAAAAGGCATGAAACTGTACTGGTGGTCTTCACTGCAGTATTCCTCCCTGCAGTAAAAATCAGAAATGCTAGTGTCACTTAAAAAAGTACTAAATGAAGGAATAAAAATTTATTACTTTTATTAAATCTTGACACATGCCCTTAATGTTCCTGTGGGATGAAATACAAAACCTTTCTGCATACTTAGGTGTAATGGTGGTTCTGAGGAATTGAGTAACTGCGTAATTGAGTTATGTGCTAAGTAGCTGCTTTTTTCATAGAGCACTATATTTGAAAGAATGACTGACATACAAACTGTTTATTCTGTCTTGAGTATTTGGAAGACATTGAATCTGAGAGCTTCTTGATATTTAAAAAAATTGTTAATGCCTAATGATGATATAGATGACAATAATGAGTGTGATTTTTAGGTATAATTAGATGGGTCAGCATGCAGAAGCTTGGTATAACTGAACCAGTATTTTCCAGATGATTAAGCATAATGTTACAAAGTCATGTATCAGTAAAAGAGCCATTTGAAAGTGGAAGGATAAGCCATTTGAAAGGGAAGTGGGAAGGATAGGGGAAAGGAAAGAAGGGAATGGAATTAATATGAGAAAATGAGAAAATGGAAACAAAGTCTTTGTAAATAGGGAGGGATGGAGGAGTTGAAGGAAGGGCAGGGGAAGGGGGAAAAAAATAAGAACCAAGAGAGATTATGTAAAGGTGCAGATTTCCAATGATGAATGTCATTATATTGTATACCTAAAATGTACCAATAAAATTAATTTTTAAAAATCCAAAAAACAAAAAAATATTAAGTTCAATCTTGAAAAATTGTGTTTTGTATCGAGAAATGTTGATGTTCTTTGGAAGCTGTTGAATCCAACTCACAAATTTCTGTCATTTATATCTATTCACATTATAGATAAAGGACATTTACATCTGTTTACACTGTTATATCACTAGGAACACTACATTTTATCCTATCTGAACATAGTGGCTTATGGAAAAATGCAGAATATCCTGCATTTTCACTATGGCTATTCTTGATTTGCTATGATATTCTGTCCTCCTAATGAATGTAATATCATTGCTAAAATGTCCTCATTTGGTAGAAATTCACAAAGAGAATAATGTCATTTTAGCTTATAGTTAACTTTTACTTAGTGGTTCCCAGTTTTGGGTGGCATCCTCAAAAAAGCTAGACAAATTCCCTGGATGCGACCCCACAGGCAATTTCTAACAATAGCAAATGATTTCAGCTCTTTTCTTAGAAAACTCTCCAGATATAACTGTTTCACAATGAGTATTTAAAAGCAAATAGGTTACATTATTTTGCTTATGAACATCCATCCTATAAATATACTTACATGTGTGCTTCCCTTTTATAGCTGCTATATGTGTTCCTACCTCCCTGATGTTGATTCCTTTAGTACATGTGTGTTATGGTTTATACTAAAATGTCCGCAAGAGTTTCTCTGCTTGCTGGCTGCTATGAGGTAAGCAGCTGTCCCCTGCCAGATCCTTCTGTCATATTATTTCTGCCTTGGAACTAGCCAACCATAGACTGAACCCTCTGAAAAACATAAGCCAAAATAAATCTCTTTTCTTAAAAAAAAAAAAAGCCATTTGAAGGACAAAATGTATCAGTGAAGTATAATGGAACAGACTTCAAAGATTTCATTGGTAAAGTTTCAGATTCCATATTGAAGCTAAGAAACCACCAATTTTCAAGTTTCGTAGTAGTATCAAAGACTAATAGCCACAATTATTTTTTCAGTGCTAGATGTTGAACCTACGACCTTGCAACTTCTAGGCCAGTGACAGTGAACCTTTTAGAGCTTTCAATAATACAAACAGCCCACTGCGGCCCAGGTTCACCACCACTATCCTAGGCAAACTCTTCTATTGGCCATAGCCCCAGCCCCACAATTTTCTGAAAGGCTGTTAAAATATTCCTCCCTTTTCCAACTACATATCTTGTGTGAGGCTAGATTTTATTTATGTAATTCTGTCAAACGAACACATGTTAACAGATTTATGCAGAAGCAGAGAATCAGGACCAGGGATTTATCTCAGTGGTTTCGCCGCCTGCTGCGCAAGCGCAAGAACCCAAGTTCTATCCCCGGTACCAAAAAAGAAAAGAAAATCAAACTATTTTATTAAACCAGAAACATTAAAACAATTTGTAGAGGGCTGGTGGAATGCTTACCTGGTATGCATGTGGCCTTGGGTTCAGTTCCCAGGATCTCACACAAACATGCATACATACATATTTGTTTATGTTTATATTTATATTTACATATATGTGTATATATACATGTGTTATATTTCTATACATATAGAAATGTAACACAATATTACTATTCTCACTATTTTTGTTTTGAAAATAGTTATTTTTCATAGTATGTATCATTCTACCATGTAATGAGTTTATTATTAATGAATTAATTAAATTAAATTAAATTTTTTTTCTTTTTCTTTGGGGTATAAAACCCAGGGCTTTCTTACTGAAAGCCTTTTAAAAAATATTGTTGAGACAAGGTCTCACTCAGTTGCCCAGGCTGGCCTCAAACTTATACTCCTCCTACGTCAGCCTCACAGAGTGCTGGGATTATAGGCATGTGCCACCATGGCAGGCCAATTTTCTCAATTTTGATTGCTAATATGTTGAGTATCATCAGATATCCAGATAAAAGCTTCTGGGTTTCTGTAATTTAAGAGCGTGAAAGGTACTAAGACCAAAAAATTTGATAACCACATTCCTAAACTAGGGAATTGGTGGTACAAAAGAAAGGACAGATTTTAGGGGAGATTATAAAGGAAGAATTGATAAGACCTAGTGTCTAAACTGGATTAAGGGAAGAGGCAGGAGTTAAAGATCTGAGTTTGTAAGTCAGCATGACTCAGTGTGACAGTAAGAGAAAATTATGAGGAGGAACTAGTTAGGGAAGGAATATATGTTTAGATTTAGATGTACAGAGAAGTCACAAGGCATCTTTGAGGAATTCACTCATTGAGTACGTATTTAGTAACTACAAACTATGCCAGGCACTTACCTAGTGCTAAGAATACAAATATGGATGATATAATAGCTAGTTTATGTGAGACTGATAAGCTGGATGCTAAGTGCTTTGTATATACATTATTCCATCCAGTTTAAGGTGCACTATTATCTCCTGAACCACCAAGAAAGAGCATTTCCCTTAAACTGACTTAACATCAATTATAGAATGTCTTCTTTTCAGAGATGATAAAATATGTTAAATATATATATGAAAATATATAAAGTATTTTCCAGGCCTGAAGGTC